CCAGGGAAGTAGCACAAGCTATAAATCATCCCAGGTGTGAAATATATCCTACCAGGCATCTTGGCCCAGGCCTCTGCTAGGGCTTGTGGGTAGAGTCAATCATCAGATGTGGATGAGGAAGGAACTCCAGCAGGAGGAGAGGGTCAGCCCTGCTCCAGAGAAGGAGCAACCCAGATCTGCTGGCTCCAAACCAGTGCTCATACAATCAATCAAGTGACCTCCACAAAAGCCAGCCATTTGCAAGTCAAGGACTTCCCTCAAGTTGAGAGAGGATGAGGGGAGACAGGTGTTCCTTTTTTTAACCAAAGGCTGTTGAGGCCTTTGCAACCAAGAAGCTGGTGTGTGCCTGGGGAGCCTCAGGCACACTACCCTTTTGGAGTGAGGGTCTCTCTCTCCTTTTCTGGCCGTCTGGCCTATGACAGCTCGTCAGCCAGCTCAAGGAGCAGGCAAAGCACATTCCCTGAGTTGGCCCTTAAAGGGGATGAGTTCAGTTTGAGGTTATGTCTGTCAGCCTTCAGAACAAATCCATGGCTTATTAATTCTCTCTCTTCTGTTTGGCAGGCAAAAGTAAATAAGCTTTTCTCAGGCAGCTTCACAGAGGCCTTCCCTGCTCAAACACGGCAAGAGCAGACAGGTTTGGAGATGCTGCGCTCCCAGGCCCTACTTCTGGGCCCGCCTGGCCTCTAGCTCTCAGCCCACCAAAACAGGGCTACTCAAGGCGTATCTGCCCTGTTCCCCACCTTAGGGAGAAAGCATTGTATCTTCTCCATTCATATAAGGCGTTTTCGCTGGAAGTATGGAGTACATGGCTTATCTGTTGAGAAGGTTCTGTTGTACTTCTAGTCTCCTAATAGCTTTTACCATGAACAGCTGTAGAATTTAGGCCAATACTTTTTCTCCAACTAGTGACAGGACCATATGGCTTTTTCCTTTCCTCTGTTAAAATGATGACTTATGGGGGTGGATCTTCCAATGCTGAACCAACACTACCATCCCTATAATAAAACCACTTTCTACATCCTGCCAGATCTGACTTCTAATAGTTTATTTTCTTAAACAAATTTCTATCTACATTCATACTTTTTTCTTCTATGGTCTTTATCCAGTTTTAGGATTAGCACAATGTTGATTTCCTAAAATGAGGGGAGAAGTGTTCCTTCTTTTTTCTGCTTTAAATGTTTGATATAATTTATCAGTTAAAATGTATATGAGCCTGTTGTTGTCATATAGGTAGGTTTACAAGCTAGGAATATACTTTCTTTAATAGGTGCTATTCAAATTTTATATTTCCTCCAGAGTCAGTTTCATTAATTTGTCTTCCAAGGTACTTGTTGGAAGTTGTCAAATTTATTTCAAAAAAGATTTTTGTAATATGCTTTCTATATCCTTTTAAATTCTGTAAAATCTGTGGTAATGTCCTCTAAATTTTGACATTGTAATTTAAAAAATGTATAATTGATATTGTGTAATAGGAAGAAAAGGTCTAAAGGAGCAGGGGAAGTGGGAGGGGTAGGGGAAAGGAAAGAAGGGAAAAGAAAAAATATGAGAAAAGAAAAAAATGGAAACAAAGTCTTTGCAAATAGGGAAGGGTGGAGGGGGTGAAGGAAGGGCTAGGAATGGGGAAAACAAATAAGAACCAAGATACATCATGTAAAGGTACAGGATCCCAATGATGTATATAAATGTATTTTATACCTAAAATGTACCAACAAACTTAATGGGAAAAAAAAAAAGACAGGGCTACTTAGCCTCTCTCTAACAAGAGGGTGTGCAGGCCAGCACTGCAGTCCCCGGGACGATGTGCTTTCAGGGCTCCCAGAATAAGTCAAGGGTCTGGTCAGAGCTCCAAGGCCCAAACCTGACTGTCCAGCCCCCCTGTGAGGAAAGTACTTTGTAAGTGTTTAAATCATATTTGTAAAGAAAGAAAAAAGGAAATAAAGAGTCACAAAATTGAAAGGAGGCCCAGGGATTTAGCTCAGTGGTTCCAGCACCTGCCCTGCAAGCACAAGGTCCCGAGTTCAATTTCCGGTACCAAAAAACAAACAACAACAACAACATTGAAAGGAGTCAGAAAAGTTCATTAACCAACCAAGGACTGTCAAGGAAGACATTTCCAAAGAGGATGCTAGCGATGTTAGAAAGCACTGTGGGGACAGGGATTTAGCTCAGTGGTTCCGCCACCTGCCTCACAAGCACAAGGATCCAAGTTCGATCCCTGGTATCAAAAAAATTAAAAATAAAAAGCACTGCTCAAGAATCTCTTATCTGGGGAGTGGGGGTATAACTTACTGGAAGAGTGCCTGCCTAGTCTTAGGTTTGATTCCTAGCCCTGCAAAAAAAAAAAAAGAGAGAGAGGTGGGGGGGAGATCTTTTGTCTAGTAGAGCTAGGAGCCTTGGATGCTTTATACCAGCTGTGTGTGGCCTATGTATTATCTCAGGGGATTTTTCCCTCTTGCTTCCCCCTTCCCCTCATCTGCCCGTTTCTGCTTAGGAAAGGAAAAAGCCAAACCATATTTCAAGAAATCCAAAATTAGGTTGCAAAGTGTAGAAAAAAAGGAAAGGGGACAAAGAAAGATCATTAAGTCCTAAATGTCTGTCCTAAATGTCACAGTGTAACCCATTAATCTGCACAATTAAAATGCATTCGTAATTATAATTTAAAAGGAAAAAGATCTGTCCTGCCCTCAGGTGAGCTGTGTACACAGAAGCACCCATGACATGAAGCCAAGGGCCTGTGCAGCTGAGTGCCCTCAAGTATACCACTGGCTAAACAACTATCACCATTGTGGTCTCAAGAACAGAGATTGCACTTAAGTATCTTCTAGCTTCCAAACTGCCCCCATTTCATTTTTATTGATTATGGTGCTGGGGAATGAACTCAGGGCCACGCACGCTCAGCATGCATCCAACCACTGAGCTGCACTGTTGGCCCCTCCACTAGTTTTTAATTTAAAAAAACCAAAAACTTAGAAAAAATGTCTACCCTTGTTCTCAGTGTACAGGAGGGGACAGATTCCCGCCTCCCCCCCGCGAGATTAGGACTCATTATGTTGCCCAGGCTGGACTTGAACTCTTGGACTCAAGTGACTCTGCCTCAGCCTCCTGAGTAACCGGAAAAAATAATTTTTTAACTAGGAAAAAAAATTATCTATTGTTCCCAGAGCTGAACTACCCTGGGATGCTGCTATAACCTGTACTATGGCAGAGGGCTTTCTCCCTCCACACCTAAGCTCTGGCATCCAGCTCCCAGGCACCCTGTGATGTGGTTTCCTTCAAACCCTTCCCATTGCAGTTGCTCAACCAAAGCAACAGAAGCCTCGGCCAACAATCCAAGGCCTGGCTATCTTTGGCTTTCCCCAGGGTGGCCTCTGGCACTCCTCGAAGTGCATTTCTGTCCTTCCTCTTGCAGGCTGTCTGCTGGCTATGCACGCACAAGCTCAAATGTGTTTTCTGTCAAGTGCCCACGGTACCGCCAATTCTCCCCCAAATCCAGAGACTTTGTTCCAAAGTTCAGGCAACCACACGGATTTGCTGCTCTCCCCCACCTCTCCACAGTCCCATCTGGAGAGAGGAAGGACCCCCAGGGCAGGCACGCACGTCACTGTCACTCTGCCTACTCCAAGTACCAGTACACAGAAGCCACGTATCCCCACGACCAGGACCTCAGTGTGGGCCTGGACTGCTCTCAGCAGGGCACCCCACATTGCCGGGCTCTGTGCCCCCTGCATACTCAAAGCCAGGGCTGGGAAGCCTTTCAAACTGCACCAGGGAACCTGTGGATCCTTTCTCAGTATTTTTCAGTGTTAAAATAAAACACAGATGTCCTGACTTGCGACAGTTTGAAATACAGAATTTTGACTTTACCATGGTGTGGAAGCAAGATATAGCCAATAGAAACTATAAATTTTGAATTTGGATCTTTTCCTGATCCTCTCTCCTGATGTTGGGCAGCATCAGGGAGGGGCAGCTCCATTAGCCCCATAATCTTGAGGGGAAAAAAAACAATACTCTTCGGTGCACTGTATGGCTGAATGAGGACACTCTAGGGTGAGGTGTTCTCAATGTGTTTTGTACCCAGGATATTTGCAGGATATAACCCCAACCTAAATCGAGGAGCACCTGTCAAGAGGAAGCTGGGGCAGGTAAGGCAGGAGGATTGCAAGTTTGGGCTGAGACTCAAAATAAAAAATAAAAAGGGCCAGAAATTATAGCTCAGTCTTGGCTCAAACTTGCGATCCTCCTGACTCAGTCTCCCAGCATGCTGGGATGACATGTGCTTCTTTTTAAATGACTGTAAATCAGGATCTAGCAATAGGTCTAGTAACTCCTGTAATTCTGAAGCAATCATGAGCATAAATATTTCATGATATCTGTACCAACAGTAATGTGGTATGAACACAGCTGTGGTTGCTACTGGTGGCCACATCACAAGGTTGTGGTTGCTGGCCCACGTTTGTCTGGAGGAAATGTTACATCTTCAGTTTGAAGCCCAAGAAAGTGAAGGTGGACCAGGAATTTAGCTCAGTGGTGTCACTGCCTGCCTCGAAAGCACAAGGTCCTGAGTTCGATCCCCGGTACAAAAAAAAAGAAAGTGAAGGTGGGATTCTCCTCCTGGTCCACCCCATGGGCCCTCAAATTCCCATGCCCAAGTGTGGAACCTGTGCCCAGGAAGTCTCAGTCCCAGCCCTGCCCCTTCCTCCTCAGTGGCTCCAGGAAGGAGGGCCCGGATGCTGGTAGCCAGCAGGCAGCATTCTAACCTCAGCAGCAATTACCAGGAGCTCCAACTCGGGCTCTTTGGCTCTGTTAAAACATCTTTTACCTTATTCTCAGAAGCAAAATCACCCAAAAGTACCCTATGGCTCCCTCCTCTTTAGTGCAGGGAGTATAGGGTACCACTTACACAGAGCCCTGGGGGTTACAGGGAGTCTGGACCTTCTAATCCGCCTTCCCATTCCACACTGAGCAAAAGTGACACACAAGAAACTCAGGAGACAGCTTACCTTCCGGCTCCTCCACGCTGCTAGCTGCAGTGGTTGGTGGTGCTACAGGGATCTCTTTGTGAGGTTCAGGACAGGTAGGAGGAAAAACGGTGAGAAGACATTATTTTTGACCTTCGAAAGAGAATGACTCAGCAGACTCCTCCCGGTCTTTCTGGGGCCCTCCCTTCTTTGCCCACTTCACAGCTCAAAAAAAGAGAGATGAGGAGAAAGCTGGCAGCAGGGTCCCGGAGTCCTGGGCATGTTGTCCTATTCTCCTGTCCCTTCTCCTGGAAGGGATGTCATGGCTCCTGGTGACATGGAGGGCCAACTCTGCACTGGGCCTGGCCTTTGTGTCCTCTTCCCTTCTACTCTGTCATCATCAACTCGGCTCTGTGCCTGCATGGTGCAGACAGTCTTCCTCAGGCTCTGTGCTCCAAAGGCTACCTTGACCCTGCCCATCTGTGACCTCAACTCAGGAATGGGTAAGGACCTTGCAGCAGGGATGGTGTGCAAGGGGCCAGAACCTGGCCCTGGAAAGGTTTGTCACAGCGGCACAGATGTGTCTGCAGCCCAGCCCTGCTTCACACAGGCTCCTGGCCCACAGGCACAATGGGACGAGACCACTGGAGATCAAAGGGCCTATAAAAGCACATACTTCTGATTATTCTTTTTCTACCTGGAATAGCAATTGGTTCCTATTATTTCCTGGACCTGACCCTGTATTCCCCAAAGGTGAAGAGGTTTCACAGGTCACTGCTGTTTATCAATCCAGCTCCTGGGCATCAAAGCTGGGCTTTTCTGGACAAGGCCACACCATGGGTCAGAAGTCTCTTCAGGAAAGGAACTCACTTCTCCAGGTAGTGACCTCCAATCTCACTACAGTAGCCATCATCTGACTCTTTGGGGTAAGAATTCCCTCTAATCCCCAGTTTCAGGTGCACTAGGATGAAGAGGCTTGATGGCTGGAGAAGAAATACGCAGGCTGAGCGCAAATGTGAGAGCCCCTCAGAAAGCAGGCTTTGTGCCTATAGAAAAGCGATGGAGGACACAGTCCTCAATGCAGAACTACATCTTGCTCTCAGATGATTTTGTTAGCAACAACCCATGGGTGCCACGGCACAGGAGCCCATTGGGAAGCTGGGGACCCTGTACCAGGCTCGTTCTTAGCCCTAAAAAGTCACATGGCCCCACCAGAAACACTCTGCAGGCCACATTTGCATGGCTTGGTCTGGTCCTCCAAGTCCACAAACAGGGCTGGGGCCAATGGCTAGGGAGCCCCACTGGCTACCCAGCCTCAGGACTACAGACAGGGTCCAAGGCTCTCCAACCTGCGACAGAACAGGGCTCCCAGCCAACACTCGTGGACCTTGCAGAGCAGGGTCCAGAATCTTGAGACTGGTGGGTGGGATGCTTACAGCCATCACCCCACCCTACGTGGGAGGAAGGGGGGAAAGTACAGACCATGGGGGAAGGCAAGAGTTCCCATCTCCCAGGGGTTCCATTTCTGATTCTGAAATGTCAGCTCTGGTTTTAAACTTGGTTTTTTTCCACTTGGGGGTTGGAAGTGTTGGTTCCAGCCATTTCTGAGAAACTGACAGCTCTTAACACCTTTAAAAGAAACACCTAGCAGCTGGGCTTGGTGGTGCATGCCTGTAATCCTAGCACTCAAGAGCCTGAGGCAGGAGGATTGCCATGCGTTTGAGGCCAGCCTGAGCTACACAGTGAGACCCCATCTCAATAAGCCAAAAAAGAATAAAAAGATAAAGAAAAAGAAAGACCTAGGGCTGGAAGTGTGGTTCTCTGCTACAACACCCACCCAGCATGCACAAGGCCCTGGGGTCCTTCTCAGCACCAGGAAAAAAAAGGACAGACTTCACTTCCTCCCGATGTTTTTATAACCCCAGATTTTCTCCCGGCTTTCTAAAAATATTCATTTTGCAACTTTCTGAATGGACAGAGGAAAGGATTTTTACAAATTCTACAACTGGCATTGCAAAAATTCTTCCTTCTTTCCTTCCTTTCAGAACTGGGGATTGAACCCAGGGTCTTCACATGGATATATAATCCCAGGCCTTTCTTTTTCTTTCTTTTCTTTTTTCTTTTCAAATTTTGAGACAAGTTCTTATTAAGTCACTAGCCTGGTTCAAGCCCAGGCTAGGCTTGAACGTGTGATCCTATTGCCTCAATATCCCGGAGTGCTGGAATTACAAGTGCATACCACTGTGCCTGGCTGGGTTTTTTTTCTTTTAAGGTGATGCTAAGATGGAACCCAGGGCCTTGTGCAGGCCAGGCTAGGCATGCACTCCACCACTGAGCCACCCATTTCAACCTGCTCTGCCCTGGGTGGACATCAAGCTCCATTTCCCAAGGCTCAGACTTTGGTAATTTGCTGTCAGGACCAGTGTGGTTATCAGCTGGAGATGTTCCTTGATTCAGAAACCAGTCAGAGTTGCTGCTGGGACTAACACAGCCAACCTGTTGAGGAAGTGCAGGCCCTTCCTCCAGGACAGGTGAGATGTGCAATGTCTAAGGCTCCCACCTGCCAGGGGAAGGGATGTCTGCAGGGCCTGAAACACTCAAGCACTCGAACTGCTGCTGGGGTGAGAGACTCCCCACCTCCACACTGTGGCCTCTGGCACTGGCCTCATGACTCTCCAGTTGTTCCAAGTACCTCGTAATGTTAACAGTCACAGGAGCCCACCCAGAACTAAGAGAGAGAATCTCTGAAGTACGGGTTGCCTGACTTCCCCCCAAAAGGGCCAAGTAGTAAATATTTCAAGGCTCTGTGGGCCACGAAGTCTCTGCTACAACACTGGATTCTGCTGTTAATAACACAAAAGCAGTCATAGAAAGACCGCAAATGCGGGGGGGGGGGGTGCAGCTCTATTCCAATAAAACTTTATTTATGGGCACTAAGCTTTGTATTTCACATAATTTTTTATGTGTCATGAAATACTAGTCTTCCTTTGATTTCTGTTTCAACCATTCAAAAAGGTACAAACTACTGAGCCATACAAAAGCAGGCAGCTGCTAATTTCCTCGGCCACATCTGCCAACCTTGCTCTCTAGAGAACCAAACTTCGTTCCTGGGATCTTGCCTTGTTTTCTGGGATTGACTCCTCCTCCTCCTGCCCTCCTTTCTTGGGTTGGTCAGCACTACACGAGGAACCAACAAGGCTAAGGACCAAGGCTGAGCCAACTTGCAATGAGCCTGGGCTTTCTAACCAGGGCTAATTCTCTGCTTGTAACACCAGCGCAAGCCCACCAGATGTAAAATACCGACACCCTTCTGAGTCAAGGCCTCTGTGTGACCCTGCCCTCCTGCTTAGCTTCTCTCCATGTTCTGGTAGCTCTGATCTGACAGGTCTCCAGAGGCCCTAGGGCAGTGATGGTAAACCTTTTAGAGCTTTCAATGATTCAAACACCCTGCCACGGCACATGTGCCGTAGGATCGCCACCACCGCCCTAGGGTAATATCACCCTTCACAAGGGCCAGTGGTGCTGTGCACAGGAGCCTGGCCCAGCTTTTCTCAAAGGCCTTGGGCTTTCAGTTCTTTCTGTTCTCAATGCATCAGCGCAGGGAAGATTGGGATTCCTGCAGCCACAGCAGCCCACCCCAGATCTGGGGGTCAAGGCAGAATGTGAGAATAGGACCTGTGCCGAGGAAAAGGGCTTGCCTTCCCCCTGGAGGCAGAGATCCAGTATTTGTCAGGACAAAGGGCCACATACAGGCTGCTCTGCTGAGCCTCCAGCTGCTCCTGCAGGATGCTTCCCCCCAGCCCCAAGCTTGGGCTCTCCCATGGGGTCTCACTGAGCACCAAGCATTAAGCAATAATGACTCCACATCAGTAACCAGCCATCCCACAGGGCTCCTTCTGCCCAATCCCAATGCTGAGAACGTGGGTCCCACACATACTGATGCAGGGCGCGATGGGTGAGCGACTCTGCTGGTAGCCCTTGGCGCAGCGGTTGCAGGTGATGCCTGTCACTCCATCCTTGCAGGGACACTGGCCGGTGGTCTGGTTGCAGGTCTTGCCAGCAGCACCAACAGGGTGGCAATCACAGGCTGTGAAGAACACAACAGGAGGGTCAGAGAGGCTGGATGGGGTCCCTGTCCACTCAGGGGTGTCCCAGGAACCCCACCATGGGAGGTAGGCCTGGCCAAGCTCACACATGGACCAGAAGCTCTGAGGCTGGCCACCTGTATACCTGGGGATGAGAAGTAAAAATCAAAATGGATCTACTTAAAAGGGTTGTTTTGGCAGGAGGAAAAGTAAGCTGAGGAGCCCTATAACAGAGCAAGAGGAAGGCCAATGATCAAACATGTTTTCAAAGGTCTTGGGGTACAGCACAGTGGTACTGTGATTAGTATGCATGAGGCTGGGTTAAATCTCCAGAACTACCCATCCCTTCACCAACAGACAGAAAGACACAGCCTACTGCCGCAGTCCTTGTTATATATGAGTGGAGGAGTTAGAAATTGAGGTGCACTGGCCCTTAAGAAGTTGATGCATTTTCACTCTCTGCCCTCAGCCCACTCTAGGGCCCTAGTTTTCTCTACAGACCCTCTGAGTGGAGGAGTGGGGTCTGGGGCCTGCTGGAGCCCCAGGGTCTACAGATCAGAGAAAGGCATGGGGAGGGAAACTCCTAGGGCTGCTGCCCCCGCCTGCCTGGAAGCTTGATGTCCAAGGTTCAGGCTTTTGAATCGCAAAACCCATACACTACAGCTCTAGAAAGGGCCACAGTGATAATTTAGTTAAAACTCTGATTAAATGTGCCAACAAAAGCTAAAGAAGTAAAGGAACCACCTGGGGCCTCACAGGAAGGCAGTGTCCAGGCCTGGAGATGAAGTGGGGCCCCTGATTCTCAGGCCAGAGGCCATGGCACCCAAGAGCAGAGCCCACGCCACTCCTACTGACTTTGAAAGGGGTGACAGTCAGGTAGACCACCCTGTCCCACTGCATCCTGGGGCCCCCTCGCTGTGGTCTAAGGGTCTATTTCTAGTAATGAGGCAGCCAGAGCACTTTGGGAGATGTCTCCACCCACACCGTAATGCACTGGGCAAGAACAGCTATCCCAGCACACAGGGGACACCAGGAGGCTCTGCTGAATCCTGCCCATCTGAACTAAGGCAGTGGAGCAGTGGGTGCCAAGGAGACTGGAAAGGAGGCAAATGTTTTGCCTGTCCCCTTTCCCCAGGGAAGCCCAGAGAGGGTAGGGGTGGCCTACAGCAGGCATCCTGCAGCCATTTCTTTTTCTTTTTTTTTATATCTTTAAAATTAATTGTATTGGTACATTTAAAGTATACAGTATAATGACATTCATCATTGGAAATCTGTACCTTTACATAATGCATCTTGGTTCTTATTTTTTCCCCTTTCCCCTCCCCTCCCTTCAACCCTTCCACCCCTCCCTATCTTGCACCCATTTCAATCAGTGCCACCCATTGCTATGTGTTTCTGTCCCCAAAGGGGACAAAAATATCCAGGAAAATAAGTGAGAACAGAATCCTAAAAGAGCCAAAGCGTAACTTCCCCAGCGAGCCCTGCTCAGCATGAGGGTCAGAGTGTGCAGATGAAATTGGGGCCTCTCCCAGCGGCCAAGGTCCAGGAGGAGAATTAAGAGGAGGAGGAAGAGAAGGACAAAGCAAAAAGGAGAAGAATGCTAGGAGCTGTTTGTTGCAGTTGTGTCTGGAGACAAAAAAGCCTCTGGGAGCACTAGAGAGAGGGTCCTGGCTGAGGTGCCCCTGTGGGCACAAAGTAGGGCAGGGCCTGGCAGACCACCTGCCAGCTGGTTCCCACACTGCAGGACCTAGGAAGAGTGACAGGACTCCTCCAATCTTGCCCTTTGTAGTTAAGAGTGATGCCTTTTGTTAGAATACTGTCTTCCTAAATCTACCCTAAATTCAATCTGTACCCTATAGTTTGCTTTAGAACTCAGTAATAAAAGACTTGACTTTGATGATCCATGGGGCCAGCTAAGATGATGGTGGCAAGGAAGGGAACGCTGGAGGGTCCTTTGGACTTTCCCTATGGCCCCTTACATCCACCCCATTATGGGCAAATCTCTAAGTTGGCTGTGTGAATGCAGAGGCCCACAGCCCAGCATCCCACAGTCCCTAAACCTCTGACATGGGCTAGGGCACCAGGCGGATGGGGACTCCAGGGGCTGGACCAGTTGACCTCCCTTGGCCTGCTCCACAAAGCTGCTGGTAAACCTAAAAGTTATGCCAAGACCTTCTCCCCTGGATGCTGATGGAACATAGCTGTGTGCCAGTAACATCTAGATCCTCGGACTTGGCTGGGGGAGGTCACAAAAGGTTGCTCGGTCACTGAAGTTTCTGAGCCAAGTCACACAAGGACACTACTGTCAGTCCAGGTCATCTTTTCCTTGGCAGGAGCTGGCCCAGTGTGGACTCTGGATGAAAGCTGGACAGGAACATGCATTGTCCTCCCTGTAACCCTGCACAGCTGGGCTCTGCTGCCCAGGCTGGCACACTGCTGGGAGGGTCCAGGCACCAGCTGAGGTCTGCTGGAGCCTAAGGCGTCCTTGGTGATGGCAGGCAGTTCTGCATCTGCTTTGTGCAGCCTACACTTCCTAACGGTCCATCCTTTGATTGATCAGGAACTTATGCTTACTGCTGGCTTTCCAAATCTTTCTCCCAAGATTGTGCAAAGACTTGGACCCATTCATCTCATCTAACTGGGGCAGTAGGATGGTTTATACTTATACATCAGCAAATTGTTGTTCTAGGAAGTGAAGGCATTGGGGTTCTGAAGGCTTCTCCAAGGCAATGTGACTATCACCAGGTGTCAACCTGCCTGTGGCAGAGCATCCCTTCACCGATACTATGACCATCCAGACCCCTGCTGACCTTCTCACCCCATGCACACTCCTATGTGTCATCTCCTGGAATTCCACAACAGCTCTGTGGAACTGCTGTGACTGTAGGAACTGGGGAGAACACAGGGTGGCAAGGAAGTCGCAGGAGAAACAAGGTGGCGCAGAGAGGGAAAGGTCCCGGATCTCTGAGCGGACCACCCAAGTCCCTCACCATCTCTGAGTGGCCCTCTTTGTACTTCTTGTCTCTCATGGACAAATTTGTTATCTTTTTCAATGAACATCAGGTAGGTTTTCAGTTACTTGCACCCTAATCCAATCCTAACCAAGACCAGCACCGCACTCACTCTCAATTCTCAGCCAAATGACCCCAAACCAAGAGCTTTTCCCAAAACCTGGGAAGAAGGACAGATGGCCCAAATCACAGCCTCTGTGCAAAGGACGAGTTTCAAGGTATGGAAAGAGCTGACTGATGACAACACCAGCAAGGTGGGTGCCTCTGCAGCTGGGGAAAGAGAACCTGAGATCAGTGTCAAAGAAGGAGAGCCTTAAGGCCTGGCATCCCAAAGGAGGCTCAGGGCCTGGTTTAGGAAAAAAGGCAAAGGGTCTTGTTTGCTTCCTAACCAGAAGTGTACAGACACAGACTCACATATACACCCAGAAACACACACAGATTCCTCTTCTCTCTCTTTTTCACACAGACTCAGACACAAAATACAGATTGCTACAGTCTCACACACAGACATACTCGGACCCACAAAGACAGACGCGGACAGACATGCAGACAGATTCACATGGAACCACGATGGGCAGCAGGCAGGGGTGGAGTGAGATGGGGAGAAGGTGGACGTGAGGCAAACAGAAAGCTTTTCTTTTGGAGATGGTTCTGAGGAGGGTGATGAAAAGAGAGCCTCCCTAATTCTTCTGAGACTGTGGTCTGGGTCCGAACATCCTCCACCACAGGAAGCCCGCCTGGTGCCTCCCATTTCCCTGGAAGTCGGCCACTTCTTTCAGAAGAAAGGTCACCCTATTTGCACGGGGCAGGCAGCACCTGGTCACAGGAAACAATCTACCGGAGATTTTTTTCCATAAAGAGAAAGGTGAGACCAGAAGGAAGTCCAGGCCCTGAGAACACAGCAGGATTGGGTTTCCCACGAAAGCTGCACGCTGCACAGACTCCTGGTGAGGCCAAGAACCCAGGCTGTCCCTGCACTGGGCCATCAGACAGGGACAGACAGCTCTGGGGACCCAAATGGTTTCAGGTGCATGACAGGAGAACCAGGCCTGGCCCTGCCCTGCCCACAACCTTAAGTTAATGCCTTCATCTCTCTCTCGACACCATGTGGCTCATTTGTAAACATGGAGGTCTATGCTCCCACAGGGGTCAAATAAGGCTTCATGTCCACCTTAGCTCCAAGGGAACCACAGGAGGAGCCAGCACCCTTGGACCCTAATCCCTAGTGCTATTGTTCACAGTGTCCTGGCCTGGGGCAGGGAGGCACCCTTCCCTATCCACCTCCCTAGGGTCTGCCTACACTGTGCTAGAGCTTCTTGCTGATAAGACTCAATTTGTCCATGAACAGGAGGCTATCCAGGGACTGGCAGGAGCCCTGGGAAAGTTGGCCCAGAATGCAGCCAGTTCTGCTCCCTGGCTTCCCATACCTGAGCAGCACAAGGCCTTTGTTTCTCCCTCTAATACTCTAGTCCTGGATCCCTGAAGGCCTGCAACCTCCATCAGCTGGACCCACAGGCCCAAGACTGCCCCAGCCCCCTGTAGTTCACATTGAGGCTTTCTGCAAGTCCATCCTCAGCTCCCATTAGAGCTCTGGCCACTTTTCCTGAGGACTCTGGCTCCAGGAGCCCTGGGGATCAGGTGGGCCCCTCAAATGACAGCAATCCAGGCCTCTGCTTGTGCAGGAGGTAAAGCCAGTGGGCGTCATCCCCTCTGGAGCCAGAAAGACAGAAGGACTACAGCACCAACCCTCAGTTCAGACACCAGCCCAGCTACCACCCAGGCCTCCAGTTAGTGTTGAAAACAGCTTCTGGCCGGCCTTGTGTTGGGGGCTGAATCACAGGCCTCCCACTCCTAGAATGCTTTTGGGGACGGTCTAGCCCCAAGGGCCTATAAGTGGGACAGACTTGGACATAGGGTCTTTAAAGAGGTGATTTAGGTAAAACAGATCACTGGTGTGGGCCCTAATTCAACATGACTGGAGTCCTAAAGAG